TAATCAAGATCATTAGTATTAAAGTAAGCCTCTTTATACATAAGTAAAATTATTGGCTTAGTTAAAAATACAAATCTGACTTCACCCTTTCTAGCATAAAAATTAGGTTATTTATTTAGTTTTTCCACACAATTCTCATCACCCTTCCTGACTTTCTTCACTCCTCTTGTTTTACCTATACTCTCAGCTAAATTTTGGTGTTTTTGAGTAGTGGTCAAATGGTTTAATTTATTTAGAGTGTTAGCCAAATATTTGTTTATGTTTGGATGGGTAGCCACATGGATTGTAATAGTGTTTTGGGTTTTGGTCGAATATGATGGTCTTCTCTCCCTTTGTTCCTTACTTGATTTTCTCTCCCCAAAGCCTCATGCTCACTTTTTAGCTTTATTTGATCATCATACACCTGTTTAGGTCCAAGAGGTATAAGAGTGATGGTTTTACTATATTTTACAATGGTATATCTATTTTTAACCCCATAATGAATTATCTTCATCTTATATTGTCATGGTTTCCCTAACAAGATGTGACTTGCTTATATTAGTAGCACATCACACAAAACTTCATCAACATACATCCTAATTGAAAATGGAATCACAACCAATAGTTGCTTTCACTTTACCATTATCATTCAACCATTGCAACCTATATGGCTTAACATGCTTAATAGTATACAAATTCAATTTACTAACAAGGGTGGTATTATAAATATTAACATAACTTCCACTATTTATAATTAAAGTACATGCCTTGCTTTGTATATAATAATGCGTATGAAAGATAGTCTCCCTTTTATTGATTTGTTTCATCTTCCTTAACCTGAACCTGAAGTGCTCGCCTTATAAGCCTCAGGATCATTTTTACCTCAAAAGTTAAAAAGTTTAAGTTTAATGGAGTTCAAGTCCCCATCCACATCTTCATAATTCCATATGCTATAGAAATTCACATTCCTCCTGGCCCTAGTTAGTCCAGACTTGATTCTATAGCCAGCAGATGTAAAATCATAGTCATCTGCATTTTTGTCAACAAACTATTTAAAATTAGATCTGACATTTTGTATAACACTATGGACTATATTTCCTCGACGATCAGCCTCAGTATTTCATTGCTTTATCAAATTCACCTCATTTTTCAAATCCTTATATATCCTAGACAAGAGTTCAAGTTGTTGGTCTATAATTTGTAATTGGAAAGCAATGTCAGCGTTTTGTGTCACTGATTCATTGTTCTCAAACATTTTTTGAATCTGTAAAATTTAATTAGTCGCATAAAATTTATCCTCACACCTCTCATGTTTCACATAAAAATCAAGGTTTTTCACTCTAATAAGCTTACCATGCCTTTTACTTTACAACTTGCTTTCTTTTGGTTCTTTAGGTGCCGCAATCAACAAATCAAAGTCAATAGCCTCTGCAGCACAATCCAATTATAATTTTTAGACTCAAGAATAAATAAGTATGCTAAACACAAAGCAAAACAAAACAAAACTACAACCGCAATCAACAAATCAAAGTTAATAGCCTCTGCAGCACAATCCAATTATAATTTTTAGACTCAAGAATAAATAAGTATGCTAAACACAAAGCAAAACAAAACAAAACTACAATTACGATTTCATGAGTAATAATACAAATTCGTATGAATTGTAGATGAAACGAAATAAAACAGAAGTGAATATTAAAAATAATAAATACTTGACTCCTAAATAACCCAATTATAATAGAAATAAAAATATTTGGACAAAAATAAATAGTAAAGATTACGTTTTGGAACTTGATGCATATTTGACTTATTACGTAATTTTTATATAACAGAATTGAAACCAAGACCAAATGATATTAGAATGACCTCAAATTCAATATTTAGTATTCTAATACCAATACCAAATAAATAACAAATCTCAGTTTATAAGTTGTTCTCTTATGTCTAGGTACCCAAACCCTTGTATGATCAATTTGCGACAGAATTGAACCTCAAATTAAAACCTCAAGCAAACAATATCAAAATAAGTACAAATTTAATATGTGGTGCGATCTCACCCCTTCTATATAGAATATAAAGTTTCAATTAATTCTAAGTTTGTTTGCTTATAACCACTAAGAGTTGTTCTTTTACAGCAAAATTGAACCTAATACCAAATAAACAACAAATCTCAATTTATAAGTTGTTCTCTTATGTCTAGGTATCCAAACCCTTGTATGATCAATTTACGACAGAATTGAACCTCAAATTAAAACCTCAAGCAAACAATATCAAAATAAGTACAAATTTAATATGTGGTGCGATCTCACCCCTTCTATATAGAATATAAAGTTTCAATTAATTCTAAGTTTGTTTGCTTATAACCACTAAGAGTTGTTCTTTTACAGCAAAATTGAACCTTGAATTAAAATCTCAAGAAAATAATATCAAAATACGCCTAAATTTAATATATAGTGCAATCTCACCTCCAGTAGACAAGATATGAAGTTTCAATTGATTTTAAGGTGGTTTGCTTATGGTTGACTAAGAGTTGTGTTTATGAGGCGTAATTGAATCATTCTTCAAATTTCATCTAATCTTTCTCATTTTTTATATGCTACTGATATAATTAGAGACAGTAATAAGATAAAATATAACTCTTTTTTTTTTGTTTAGAAGCCACAGACACAAAGAACTAGAAGATGAACGATGTAGACATTGAAAAACTTAAAAGAACACTTAAAAAACAAAAATAATAGAAAGATATGACCTTGTTTCGGAACCTAGTTCTGATACTAACTGACATAAACCTTATAATCATATGACTACACAACCCACATCAAGATTAAGATTTGATCACGGAAAATCAAAATAGTTTTGATAGGTGTGACACAATGAAAACCTGTACCAAGGCACCAACACTATTAAAATGAAGTAGAATGACGCCGCAAAGCTAGTTAATCTTCGATAAGTCAAAGTTAGTTCATTCAAGAACTAAAGAATGCAAGAATCACTCTCACATGTTAAAACTGAAAAATTCAGAAGTAATATTCATCAATGACTACCAAAATTTAGATTACATGAGCTTAAATAGTTCTTGAAAAATTAACCCTAATGGATCTACTCTAGTGGACTGATTTGACCAACTTACAAAACTGATCCAAAAACTTTAAATTAAAAAAACCTATAACATGATTCAAACAAGCCTTGGATCTTAGCTGAAAACAAAGCATTAAATGAGCCCACACAAGCCTTAAATCCTAACTGAAAACAAAGCATTAATTGAGTCCAAATAAGCCTTAGGTTGTAGCTAACAAAATAAAATAAAACTCATAATATTAAATCCATATTTTGCCATGAGAAGAAAAAAAGAAATAAAATAATATAGAATTGATTCAAGACTTTTTTATACCCTTCTATACAGCCTATTAATCTTAGAAACAAATGGAAAATGTAGTCACCCATGTTGTTTCCAAGTTGTAGTAGGATTCTTTATTTCTTTTGCTATCCTCACCTTATAGCCCAAATAAGGTTGGACTAGGTCTCTCTTACACATGGATAAGATGTACTAGGGTCTTCTCTTGATACTCTAATAGGCCCTTCAAATCTAACTTGGTCGAAACCTTTAAAATCAATGCAATTTAATGCCTCTTTCAATGTCTCTATCTTAGACTGAGTAATTGGACTATCTAGAACATATAATGGGTCCTTGCTGGTCTTTTTAGGCTGGTCCATATCAATTGGGTTATCTTGATCTTATGATCTAGTTGTAGGTTTGATAGGTTAGCTTGGATTGATTTAATTATTACTTGAGTTAGACCTTTGTATACTAATTTAGATTGACTCAAATCGAGTTTTTTTGGTCATTTTTTTTACCTAATTTTGTCCTTTTGTGTTTAATTGGTTAAGAATTAAGCTACATTGTTTTACCCGTTTTAGAAAAAAATGTCTTTTTTTCCCCAAGTTTTTGTGATCAATTTCTTTTTGGTCTATTTGTTGTTGATGCTTTTTTTTTAATCATCAAATTAAAATAAAACCAAACTACTGATGAAGGATATAATAAAAAAAACTAATCTAAAAAGAAAAGTTAGTTAAAAAAACTGGGACTAAATCAAAGAAATTTTAAAAATCAAACAACTAAACTAAAAGAAGAAGGGAAAATGACAAATCTAAAAAGCAAAATATAAGACTGAATCGAAGACATTTTCAAAATTAAAGGATTAAATTAAAAAAAAATATAAATAATATGTCATGACACAAGGAAGGTCTGCCACCTTTAGACAAAGCCTTATCCTTCTTCTATTCTTCAATTCATATATTTTTTTAATATTATTAAAATCTTTAAGGCATCCTCTTTCTTGTAAGGCTACATATATAGTAGTAATAAAAATTTTAATGTACCTCCAACTTATTCTTAATCTTTAGGAAAAAATTAAGAATTTGAACAATATTAACATAATCAATTACCAACCCGATACTAGGATATATATTTTTTATATTGTTATAACTATATAAAAAATAAATTATTAACTCTAACTTCCAATCACATCCAAAATAAGATTTAAATTAAAAATAAAAAAAATAATATCCAAAACAAAAAAAAGCAAAAAGCAAAAAATTATAATTGCTAAACACCATGAATTACTTTTAGTAATCTAAGTATTTATAGCTACCAGAGAATAATATTTTTTATATGTTATTTAGTTTATATTTGATATTGTAGTAGTTTTTGCAATTATTTTTTTATAAAAAATAATTTTAAAAATATATATATTGATTGAAATGGTTATAAAATTGATTTTTATATACAAAATAAAATAAATGAATAAAATTAAATTTTATAAATAAAAAATAAATTATCAAAATTTAAAATATAATTATATATAAAGTTAAATATAAAAATTATTTAACCAACCAAATAATTTCTTTTACATAAAGAAGTAAAGCAATGGTTTTTCCTGAAAAAAAACCCAGCTCTCAATTCTATCCAAATCAACGTCTAAAAATCTGCCACGTAATTAAATCACCTTTTTGATATTCCAGTTAAAATAATAAAAATTCTCTCTTTCTGTTCACTGTCAACAGCTACGGATCCCTAATTGATTAAAGGAATCCCTAATTCCTCTTTCCTTCAATCGACTCGATTCGATCACGCGATTCTCAATATTTCGATCAATTCTAGCAACTCACTCACGACATCGTTTCGGTTCTTGATTGTGATTCTTATTTTTATTTTTTTTTGGAAATTGTGGATGAGAATTGGAATCAAAGAATGAAAAATGCCTGTGCTGCGTAGTCGAGTGCGCAGAGGCCGAGGAGGAGGAGCAGCAGCCGTAACACTGGAGCCAGAAAAGAAACAGCAGGAGCAGAAGAAGAATCCAGTCGAAGTGGTAGAACCGATTGCGAAGAGGACAAGGAGAAGGAGGGCAGCAGCGGAGGCGGGATTGGCAACGCCTAAAACTAACGATAAGGAACACAAAACTCGCAATGAGAGGGTAGGAGTGGGTGGTGCCGTTTCAGGGGCGGTGAAAGAAGAGGAGGAGAACAGGGATTTAGAGGTTGCTAGAGAGAAGAAGGGAGTGTTGGGAGAAAAGAAGCCGATGGACGTGTTAGATAGTGGTGGAAAAAGTAATGATAAGCCGCTTGCTGGTGGCGGTGACGATGAGGGAACCGCTGCCCCTATACCCGACCAGGTTCTTTTTTTTCCCCTGAATTCTAATTTTAAGCTAAATTTGCTAATTTGAAAGTTGCTTGAGGTTCTTTTTTTTCCCCTGAATTTTAATTTTATGCTAAATTTGCTAATTTGAAAGTTGCTTGATGGCGATCGCTATTGTCTTTGTAATTAAAAAGGTATTTTTTTTCCTTAAGAATTTCGATTCTTGAAGTTGTGATCTAGTATATTTTCTTTGGTTATTATATTATTCTCTACTTCTGATTGAACAACCAGATAGTAATAGTTAATGCAGATAAAATTTTAAAAGATTCTGTCGATTGCGTATGAGACTGAGATCGCTATAGAAACCCTTTTTTTTTTTTTTTATCTGAAATGCTACTTGTTCGATCCTAAAATTCGTAATTTTATTTGCCAAATCTTGAAATCAGCTGTGCCAAGACTTTTGTAGTTTGTGAGATGTTTTTTTTACGAGGGTTGCAGAATTTTTTAGTTTTGTTAAAGATTTATTGAACTATAAAAGTGTTGGAAAGATGTTTTTCCCAACAATAATTTTCTTCTTCATTTTGAAAAAGGGCTTTATCTTGTCTCACGTACTGCTGTTTTTCAATGTTGTGGAATTGATATTTGGTAATTGTGTTTTATTTATTTATTTATTTTAATGAAATGAAAAAAGAAGGATTATGAAAATAGATCAGTGGGGTGCAGAAGAAAGTGAAAACTGCTTAGCAAGAGTAGGCACACTGCATCCTGTAGCCCTTTTACTGGGGGGACAATGCCTAAACTCTTAAATCCATGTCCATATACAGTACTAATTTTCATAAATGGAATTCTCTGTTGAATTGATGGGGCTAGTCATTGCACTGTTGGATGGCAGATTATAAGAAAGTATAGGATTCAAAACTGGAATATTTAGTATAATTTTCAAAGGTTTGAGATGGAGAAAATTATTAAGTACTCCTGGTGTAGTGCATGTCCCTCACCTAAAAATGGGACCTATCATGATAACTCCGTGGATTCCATTTTTTAGCAAGGAGCATTGTGCCGGGAGCACCAAGTAATCTCTCTTTGAGATGAATGAAAGAAACTTAGGGAAATATGTTGTAATATGTTGGTCCCATTTGTGAGATAGAAAGCAACAATTGAATGTACCACTAGTCATATTGACTAGCTTGTTTAATTAGATGTAAGATTCAGATGTTTCTATATTTCTTGGCTAGATACTACATGCACATAAAATTATAGTTTCCAAATATTTCTGTCTAATCTAAATAAAAGTTACGGTTGCCAACAGATGGACAAGAATATAATCACATTTAAACAATGAAATGCCAATTAACTATTAAAGAAAATCAATCAATCAACTAGCAAAGAAAATCAAGGGTTATTAGGAAACAAATTGTTGGCAGAGTTTTTAGTGAAAGTTTATTCAGTTATTCATGTACTGTCATTAAAAGTTCCTCCTAATCTGAATACCTTGATCTTTCTGTGACTAATTAACTGTTATTATGTAGTCAAAATTGCTATTCTATAGTCATGAGTTTGCATGCGTTAGAGAGCTAATATAACAACTTTGGTGCGTAACTCTTTTCATCTGTCAGAAAGGAGTAAAGACCCTGTTTTTGTGGGATTATTTAAAGACCCATGTTTGTCTTTAGTGAATGCAATTCTTTGTGAATGTTCATCATGTTTCTTCCTCTTGTAGAACTGATTCCTAGTTTGATTCTGCATTTCACTATGTCTACTAGGGCTTTAGAATTGGAAGAATGTTTTCTTTTTCTGACATTGATGGCAAGCATAATTTTCAGCTGTTATTGTTGACAGATTATTGTCTGTGTTGACCAAAAAATAATTCTTGTGTTTTTCCAGTCTCCATAGCAAGTCTCTAGGCCCCACCTTGACTCTTTTTTGTCATTGCTAATGCACTCAGCTTGATTATCATTAAAAAAGATGAATTTTTAGTTCTTTTTAACACATTGCTTATACATCATGCCTATTTTTTTCATAGAAAATATTAGACTTGTTTCTAAATCACCTCATTATTTTTCTCCTTGTTTATTCGCTAAAAGTCAAAAGTTCTCTAGTTTGCTTGGAAGCACCTCATTGCTACTTTGTCTACTCCATTTGCAGCCTCTTTTTTTTCTAAAAAAAAAAATGAATCTGCTGGAGTAATGATCGGATCACTAAAACTAATGCAGTAATCTAGGAGGCAATATGAAGAATTTACAGTGTTGTCTGTTCATGATGGCATTGATCAATTATCTAAATTGGGAGTCTTCCTTGAAAATACTTTTGTAGAGCTTGAAAAGGTAATGTGTTTGGACATATAGAGAAAGAAATGATATGACCATTTTGTGCAGGCAGCAGCTGCTGAACTATGGCAGTATTTTTATCCGCTCTCCCCTTTACTTTTTTTTTCTGAATCTCTTTTGGATGAATGTAATTTCTTGGCTATGGTGCTGCAGGTTCAGGTTGAGGATTCTCCTGTGTACAAAGTAGAAAGAAAATTGGGAAAGGGTGGCTTTGGTCAAGTGTATGTTGGTCGACGTGTGTCTGCTGTAAATACAAATGATAAAGCTGGTGCAGGAGCTGTAGAGGTATAGCTGTTGTGTTTTTATACACGTGTGATGATTGAGTGTGATCTGATCTTTGATGATCTTTGATCTCAATGTTTTATACTATCACCTATGAACTTTGGATTTTAGGTGGCACTAAAATTTGAGCATAGAAGTAGTAAAGGATGTAATTATGGACCACCGCATGAATGGCACGTTTATGAGTGAGTATTAGATTATATCCATCATGCTTTCTTATGACTGTTGCAAATTAATAATACATATTCAAATCCCTTTGCTTTTCTTTTTTGGAGCAATAATTTTGAATCTATGACTTTTTGTCCCTTGCACAGTACTCTTGGTGGCAGTCATGGTGTACCACTAGTACACTATAAGGGTCAGCAAGGTGATTATTATGTCATGGTATGCTATCTTTGCTTTTGTTTGTGGCTCGAGATTGGTGGATTCCTATAGCTGTATTTTCATCTTGTTTTGGAATTGTTTTTAACAGCAAACCTTTGTACTTGTAGGTTATGGATATGTTGGGTCCAAGCCTGTGGGATGTTTGGAATAACAATATTAACTCAAACTTGTGAGTTCAATTGCTTAATTGTTTTGTTGTCTATTAGTTTATCTTTTGTGCATCAGTTTGCTAAATTAAGTCCTGGTCTTATTGGCAGAATGTCCACTGAAATGGTTGCATGTATTGCCGTTGAAGCTATATCCATATTGGAAAAGATGCACCTTAGAGGGTAAAAGTTCTTTGCATATGTTATACTGCTCTCTAATTTTGGTCTTGATAAGATGAATTGGATTGGTTTGGTCTGGCATGTGGATTGAATGATATACACTTCTATTTGTGGAACTGTTAGTTGGCTATTTATGTTATGTGTGATTAATCTGTGAATTTTTAATGTCATATTTAAATGAAAAATATGTGATTCTCAAACTACATTACACAAACTCTTGCAGTTATGTCCATGGAGATGTAAAGCCTGAGAATTTTCTGCTTGGCACTCCGGGAACTCCTGATGAGAAAAAATTATTTCTTGTTGATCTTGGATTGGGTAATTAGAAAAATGTCATTTTCATCTCTTAAATTAACTTTAAACTGTTGATTTTTGGGTATTCTGACTGTCTCCATTGAACCACAATTTTCTGAATTGTTCTGGCCATTCAGCTACTAGATGGCAAGATAGTTCAACTGGTTTGCATGTTGAGTATGACCAAAAGCCAGATGTTTTCAGGTTTGACTTTTGATTATTTTTTATATTAAGAAATTAATTGAAATAATTTTTACTGTCTTTAGATGTGTTTTAGTTAAAAAAATTTGATTGTTGGCTTTGTGATAATTTTGTTGGGCAGGGGAACAGTGCGTTATGCTAGTGTGCATGCTCATTTAGGGAGAACTGGTAGCAGGAGGGATGATTTGGAATCTCTTGCTTACACACTTATTTTTCTTCTCCGTGGTCGTTTACCTTGGCAAGGGTACCAGGTAGGTCCTTTATTTTTAGTTTGAGGAACATGTTTGTCACTTCTGGTTTACTTGTGCATAAACAAATAATTGAAAGGTCACTTTTTTTGCTTGTACTTTTAACATTATTGTGTTCTCAGGGAGAAAACAAGGGGTTTGTTGTTTGCAAGAAGAAGATGGCAATAACCTCAGAGGCGCTTTGTTGCTTCTGTCCACAGCCTTTCAAACAGTTCGTTGAATATGTGGTGAACTTAATGTTTGATGAAGAACCTAATTATGCAAAATGCATTTCCCTCTTTGATGGAATTGTAGGTACAAATCCAGATATGAGACCACTTAACACAGAAGGTGCCCAGAAGGTTCACGGGTTGTTCCTTTTTTGTTGGAGTTATTAGTTGTTTTCTCTTAACTTGAGCTATTAACTTTATTTTTAATGAAACAGTGCTTCAATTTTTGAATTTCAGATGTATTTAATCTATACTTTTGGTCTTGTGAAGCTTATTTATCAGGTTGGTCACAAGAGAGGTCGTTTGACTATGGAGGAAGATGATGAACAACCAAAGAAGAAGGTTCGCATGGGCATGCCAGCAACACAATGGATTAGTGTGTACAATGCATGCAGACCAATGAAACAAAGGTACAAAACGTGCCTCAGGTCATTAGTCTATGACCTTTTTTCATTGATTTAATCGGCCACTGTTTTGAGTCTGTTTTGCACTGTGAATCTTTTATTCCTTCCAAATATTTTAAAGTTACATGTTCTCATGCTTATTCAGCATGATCTCTATATTGTGTTGTTAGGACATTAGAGTGGTCAAATTAACTCAAATCAGGCGAGGTTGAGAACTTGATATGCTTTCTTAGGTATCACTATAATGTGGCTGATGCAAGGCTTGGTCAGCACATTGAAAAAGGGAACGAGGATGGCTTATTTGTTAGCAGTGTAGCTTCATATCAAAATCTATGGGCCATTATTATGGATGCTGGTACGAATTACTCTGCACAAGTCTATGAGCTCTCACCATATTTTCTTCGCAAGGTACATAATTATATCTTTTTATCTACCTGAAGCATTTCTATCACTGTTATTCTGAATTCATTCTTGTTCTGTGGAGAGCAAGTAGCTCTTTGGCGTAACTTCTAAACATGTATAGTAACAATTGCATTATTATTGTATTCTTTTTGGTTGTGTGAAGGAGTGGATAATGGAGCACTGGGAAAAGAATTATTATATCAGTGCCGTAGCTGGAGCCAATAATGGAAGCTCATTAGTCGTAATGTCTAAGGGTCAGTCTAAACTGTTTGAATTTTTGGTTTTGTAATTGTCTCTACTTTAATTTTGTCTGACTTGCTGTATTCCTTTTGAGTTCAGGTACTAGTTATATGCAGCAGTCATATAAAGTTAGTGATTCATTTCCTTATAAATGGATTAATAAAAAATGGAAGGAGGGCTTTTATGTGACTGCAATGGCTACCTCAGGAAGTAGATGGGGGGTTGTTATGTCCCGTGGTGCAGGATTTGCTAAGCAGGTCATCTTTGATTTTAATTTTTATTAAGATATATTGTATTCCATATAGTGCTTTAATATATTTTAGCATTGGATGGCGAACTAATTCTATGTATTAATTTCAGGTGGTTGAACTTGATTTCCTTTATCCTAGTGAAGGCATCCATCGACGATGGGATTCTGGATATCGTATCACGGCAACTGCAGCAACTTGGGACCAGGCAGCTTTTGTTCTGAGTGTGCCGAAAAGGAAACTTGCAGATGAAACACAGGAGACCCTTCGAACCTCAGCCTTTCCTAGCACACATGTCAAGGTTTGTCTCTCTACATAGCATTAGTTTTTCTTCAATGCTGGTTTTCATGTCTCGGGACCTAAAATTTGAGATGGACCTTGCAGGAGAAATGGGCCAAAAATCTATATATTGCATCCATGTGTTATGGACGGACAACATCATGAGCTGCGTCTCGCCTGCCTCCCCCGCGATCCCATTTAAGCTATGATGTTTTTTGTCAAGTAGCATTCATTTAGGCTTAGAGAAATTTTGATTAGTATATAGGTTATCAATTTTAATAAAAAATATAGAAGCTTTAGTTCTTCCGTAAGTCGTGTCTGTCAACCTGTGAAACTAAGTGGGCTTCCTCTTGTGCCGATTGTATGCCATCGAGCAAAAGCTATGAGGATGGCGGTGCCTCTATTTTACTTTGTACAGTTTCTAATAATTGGCATCCTGATTAGGGCAATTTGTAAAATTTACGTTTCTATATGGGTGTGGATTGTTTAATTTTGATCTGTCATGTTGATGGTTTTTGTTTTCTAACCATGTTTGATCGATGCATTAGACGTGAGTTCTATACAATTGCAGTGTTGCTTCAGGGAAAGTACGATTCCACAAAGCGCTGTGCAAGTTGATTATTAAACTCGTTGATGGCTCGAGTGACAGGTAGCTGCATTGTCAGATTAGACAAGAGTTTTAAGAGTTTCAAATTTAAAGGGCATTCACTTGAAATGAAAGAGATACTTAATATCGTTCATTTGGTTTTGAGAGATGACAAGCTACCTGTTACTAATAACTTTGCCGACGGTGTGATACGTGCAAATTCAAGATAAAAATCAATATAAGATGAAAAGTTCTACTTGTTTAATTATGGTTTTATTTCAAGTTAGGAGAAATTAGTTTATGAAGGCCAGTATTTACTGTTACGTGATGCAAACGATAAATTACAAAGAAATGCAATTTCCACCCTCATCCTCTGTCCACTGCCTGAGAATCTATGGCGTTGGTCTGCCACATAACCTATCCAACCGAACTTCTTCCTGGTGTATCACATGACACTAAAGTCAGACATCAGTTTTATAGCTTCTCCACGGCCAGGAAAGAAGAAAGATGAGGATGGATAAAGACACGGAATTCTAGAACATCAAAGACACAAGCAGATAAGCATACACACATTATTACCTCGAAGTTGTCATGATCATAACGAACTACAAAGGTGCATCTACAACCGTTTATATCATGTAATTTCCTGTTGATCTCTACAATATGGGCATCACAGTAGACTGCTCGTTCTGCTCTTTCCTGAAAATCATGCATGAGCCAAAAGCTAAGATGGATATGACTCCTAGAAACTTTAAAAAATTAAAACTAGTTCTGTTTCAATGATGGGTGTGCCTCCCATTGATTCAGGTAATTACTCATAAAACCACATTAGCCTAAGTGCAAATCAAATACAATCTTAACAGGTGGCATGATGGTGGGTGATCATAGCTGAAATAATTGGAAAAATAGATCAAAGTTGAGTCTCACCCAACATTTCCTAATTTAAGTACTTGTATGCATGAATGAATGTGTGTCTCTGTTGACCTTTCTGGAGACCTGTGAATTGCAGAAGAGCTTGGATCCATCATTCACTGGAGGAAATGAGGATTTGAGCTATATGGATTCATGCATGTATAAATTGATAGTGCATGCATGAAAATGGAGGTTTGGACTCCAATTGCGCCAATAAAATGTCAACTGTAAGATAATATTAAACATTTAAGTCAACAAAGGGAAGACATCATGTACTTGTTCAGCCAACAAGTTCTATTCCATAGCTTTTCAGAGAATTTGTTTTTGCTTTTCTTAAAAAAGGTTAATAAAAGGTACCTGAAAGCACAGCACAAGATCACCAACTTTGACCCTCTGACATTCTGAAGATTCTAAAGGAATGGATCGTTCCCGAACTGCCCTTCTCACATTCACCCACTCATCATCTGTATTACGAAACCCAGCAAATCTTACTCGCACTTCCTGGATTGCAAAGCAAGACTCAAAACCTTCAGCAGGTTGAGTGTTCACATAACCAACAATGAAAATATAATAAGTGTAAAATAATCTTACAAGTTCACCAGAACAAACAACTCTATAGTTGAGGAAAGAAGCAACATCATACCTGGAAGCCAAAGACATATTTGTCACACATGCTACATTCATATATAATTATAACAAGCTTAAAATTTTTACATTCACAACCAAACGAGCACTTAACAAGAATAGTATGCATATATCATTATAAAACCAGCATTGCAAGAAGAAAAAAGTAACTTTCTAGTGTATTTTATGTTTAGACACGTGAAAAACCAGAATATCACTATGTGATATAACTGTGCAGAAGTTTATGAAAAAAGAAGAAAAATGGTGCATTTGTGTTGTATGATTGAATCTGACTTTCAATGCAATTCACATATCCTCTCCATATTCCCAAAATGATGAATTTTCTTTGTCCAGTTTTTGAATTCAGAACACTAATGAAATATTTCATGCAGATATGTTCTCCATGTTGCTACAAGAGATCTTCAAAAATTGAAGAATGGCAACTGGGAAAACAAAGATCATTGAAAACAATTTTATTCCTTGTTTTATGATGGTGGAGCATGCTGGTAACATAAAAAAAATGCATATTTTAACCCAAGGTATAGTTCTTTTGGAATCTTTAAATTCACCTTTCCTTTTTCTCCCAATTCAAGCAATATCCAAACTGGCACTTTGGCTTCATTCAAATTTTGACTAGCCTGCTCAATTTCTAACCCACATTCTAAATTGTATTCCATTTGAAAAATCCTACCCTTTTTTCTGAAAAGAAAATGATAAAGAATGAATACAAGTACACATGCATCTGATATCTCATTAGAAAACAAAGATTGAGCTCTCAAACAAATTAAAGAGACCAAAAAATGATATAATTATGTTTTTCTTCATAAATGTAATCTTTCAACGCATTAAAATTTGAGAAATGCACATAAGGATTCCTTTTTCTTTCTATCTTTTTAATTGAGACACCAAAGGCTTCCAAATGACGTGTTTATGAATTACTGTACATTTTCACTATTTGTACATATACAGCATTTAAATATACACTTGTGCATCTCTGTATAGAAAGTGCATCCTCACCAAGCATTATCTTTTGAGGACAAAGCTTCAAAAATCAACTCTGAAAGATCAGAGGCATTGCCTGTATAACAATTGACAGTGAAGATTACTAGATGCCATAACTTTATTTAGAAAGAGAGGAAAGGTTTCCAAATTTTACAAATACATGAAACAATTCTATCAACAACACAGACAAAGCATAGTGGCAATATGCTAACTAAAGATCCATTAAATAACAGGACATGAATATGATCGAATATTGTATAAAATGTTATGAGGTAGAATCATGTTGCAACACTTTTTTACCCATGAAACATAGACAAAGCATAGTGGCAATATGCTAACTAAAGATCCATTAAATAACAGGACATGAATATGATAGAATATCGTATAAAATTTTATGAGGTTGAATCATGTTGCAACACTTTTTTACCCATGAAACATAGACAAAGCATAGTGGCAATATGCTAACTAAAGATTCATTGGATAACAGGACATGAATATGATGGAATATTGTAAAAAATGTTATGAGGTAGAATCATGTTGCAACACTTTTTTACCCATGAAACATAGACAAAGCATAGTGGCAATATGCTAACTAAAGATTCATTGGATAACAGGACATGAATATGATGGAATATTGTATAAAATGTTATGAGGTTGAATCATGTTGCAACATTTTTTACCCATGAATAACCATCCATAATTGTCAGAGTTAAAAGCAAAAGCAGAATGCTTCCAGTCAAATTGAGAAAACAATTGACACAACGGAAAACTCCAGACAGGAAAGAAGTTATTGCTGAAAGCAAAGCACATAAAAACCTCAAAACAGAAAGAAGATATCAACTACTGAATTGTGCTGACCAAAAGATAGATAGCAGAATGGAAAGCCACCCACACACCTGAATGATCAGGAGGTCAATAAGAAATTACATCACAAGATAGGTTACCTCTAAAAAGAGCAAGTCTTTGCCTGCTAAATATGAGTCTACACAAATAATATTGTCAGTGAATCACTCTTAAGGAGGTTAGGCACCATGCAAGTACATGTTCAACTATTCTCACACACGAATGATACAAAAGCAATTTGATTAGATTGTTGTCATTGAAAAGAATTGTAACCTAACATCAATTAGGATGAGGATAAGAGCCTGCTACTAAATAATAACCAATCCCAACCCATGATGATGCAGCACAGTACACTACTATGCCTCAATGGCTTATGGCCTAAGGTAAGAACTAAAAAGATGCAAAATTATTGATGCATGCTTATGCCTATTTTCTTCTTAGATACCCAAACCAGAAAGCTATATTCACAGGCAAAAAAAATAAAAAATAAAAAGCATGCGATTGGATGATGGTGTAAAGACCCGCCATCAAAGACATCTAAAAGTTTTGAAATGGAAGACCATCACTACAATCTTAATTATAGTTCCACCAATGCGAGTTAAATGCAGAACCTTTGAGCTTTTGTGAACTCTCAGTTGCACCGAAAGAAGCACTTGTATCAGAGAGATCAGTGAATAATTTGAGAGCCATATTTGAAGAAGCAACTCGAGGTTGTGACTTCTTTAGTCTATCCTGGAACCAGCTTTTAACCTGATCACAGCATGAGTATGGTAGGACTTAGGAGAAGACCAAGAAATAAAAAACAAATGCTTGGAAGATTAAGAAGAGTAAGAAAAACCTGCGGAGGTGTAATGGCTTGCTTTCCAGCACGACTTGGCGCTAAACTGAAAATGACACAGTAATCTTTCATATAAACGTTTATTCTAGGAAGGCAAGTACATAAATACAACAATGCATGAATTCCTTCCTCTAAATTGAATAAATGGTACAGCAAGAATAGCCTAAAATAGATTTTACCTAAAGCTGCTTGCAAGCTTCTCACAAAACTGCGGAGCTAGTGGATCCTCCCTTAATTCCTTGAACATATTCTCCATTTCCAGCATCTTTTGTAAAATGTAAAATAATTATTATACAGTAGGCTAGTCAGTTAGTAATTGAGACATCCTTTACAGCGAAGAGAAAAATATAAGCACAAAAATATATCAGAGAGCAACCCATTATTGAAAATCACAGAGAGTGAGAGAGAGAGGGTTTAAGCAGGAATTTGGAGCCTCATGTTCACAACTTAGGGCAATGATAGAAAAGAGAGAAAAAGGAAGATATATCTAACCTCAGAAAGTGTGAATTCAAAATCCATGGCTATGATGAAATGGGAACCAGAGAGAGTAAGGGTTTTGCCTTGCCTGGTTTTCTTTTGTTTCTTGTTTCTACGGGATTTTGAGGCTTTAGTCCTTCAATGAGAGCTTTACCTATTTCCACTTTTGAACTGCTTTTCTGCTTTCCAATTCTTCGCCACCGTTAAGATTATATATATATTAACACGTTTTTATATTTAAAATATTTTAAGTAAAAATTAAAAAATATATACTTACACGTAATTAAACCAATTAAGAACCATGTGTTTTAACAAATAATAATAAAAAAATAAAAAAATTAAAGATAGATATAAATTTAAATATTTAATCTTGTAAAAAAAAGTATTTACCTGAATGTATTTGAAATTTTTTATTAAATAATATTTTTATACAAAAAACCAATAATAAAAATAAAAATAAATTAAATTGATTGAATAAAAAAAATTATATAAGGTTACACATATTAAAAATATTATGTGAAAATATTTTTATTTAAAAAAATAAAATTCATCTACACAAAAAATTACAAAAATGAATCATAAAAAATCTTCAAAATTTAAATACATAACCAAAAATATAAATATAAATATAAATAATAATTTAGAGGAAAAAACAATATAAAAAACATTAATTTAAAAAAAAAGAGAAAAAAAAGGTTTGGACCTATATTGTTTGAGCCCACATGCGGGCTTGCCTTGACCTATGCAGCTGGCCCTTGTTTTTTTATTTGAATTAGGGTGTACGACATGTCATCTGTTTAATTATTTTTGAAAAAAAAATTAAATGATATATTATCTAATTAGTTCAATTATTGGCCACAATAATTACTTGAAAATCAGGACTTAAGTTTTTTTAATATAAAAACTAGTTTTTCAATCCATTGTTTACATAAAACATCTACTAAACACCTTTGAAATTATTATAAACCTATCAATGATCTAAAAAAATCAAAAAATCATTTCAAAAATTGAAATTAACACGAAACCAAAAATTAAATCGAGTTTAGATCTATTTTTTCATAAACTTAAAAGATAAAAAAAAAAAAAAACAATACCTAATATGAACTCTTCTCATTAAATAGAACTATTTATTACAAATATCGATCTTTTTGTGGTATAAATTAATGTCAATGATATTTTTCTCTCTTTATTGCCGAAATACAACAACCTCTCTCCTTTCTCAACTACAAATTAAAAAATAATAAAAATAAAATTTTGTACCAAAATTGCATTTGAAAAAAATTAAGGCACCAAAATCATATAATTTGTGTTTTTTTTTTAAATTAGAGGATCAAAGTATATATTTCTTAAACTTCTTGCATGCCATCAAGTTTGATTAATACAATTCCATCTTTTCATAGTTCGGGTCTATCTCCTTTTGAAAAGTTATATGGGTATGTCCCTAATTATTCCTCATTTAGAGTATTTGGTTGTACTTGTTTCGTTC